TTTAAAATTGTATGCATACGTGCATTTTTCTGGAGAAAAGAGATCTGTGAGCAAAATAAAAAAAAGGTTAGAAAGTCACTGTAATCTACTTAATGATGGTAATCCTTGGTTCATGACATGTGTAAGCATGTCTTAATGATTTCTGATAGAATACCAGCACAGACTTTGATTTTTGTAAAGCTAAGGAGGCTTTTTATAGGAAAGGGGAATTAGTAATGTTGCGAAATCAAGCAGTAATAGGATGTTGTAACCTCAAAAAGGCTAGAGTCAACTTTTGGAAGTTTGCAACACTTGGTCTGGCCAACGTAGTAAAGACTGCCTCACCTTTTTATTTGTAGAGCTCCTGATCTCGATTCCTAACAGGCAGTGACTAATGAAAGGAGGGGAATAATGCTTGAAAGGAGATGGAACTGTGTTACTGTCAGATAACTGGGTGTTTGTGAAGCTGGAACAATACTAATCTTTTTGCTCCCTGGACAGGCTTGAGAAGGAGAAAGCAGAAATTGAACGCATGCGAAACCTGACTGAGGAAGAGAGGCGAGCTGAGCTTCGGGCAAATGGCAAAGTCATTACCAACAAAGCTGTTAAGGGCAAATATAAGTTCTTACAGAAGTATTATCACCGGGGTGCCTTCTTCATGGTAAGAAGTGAAAAAGGAATTGGAAAGTACAGTAGTAGGGAATACTTAGAAGCTTTGAATTCTGTTTTTCCCCTCAGGGATGAAAACTGGTCCTGGGGGGATGATATTTCCATTTGTCAGTGGTCAGCTTCTTCATTGGCTTTTTGTTTCTGAGGAATATAAACCTAGTAGAGAAAAACAACAGGATTGTAAAAGTAGCAGCCGCTCTGTTTTGACCCCTGCTTTCAGAAGAAGGAAACGATGTAATAGAAGAATTAAGGAAATGAAATGGGGAGATAGTGATCCATACAGATACTAGATGAATTAGGTCCACAAAATCACTTAGGTATCATTATTTCAGAGTCAAATGAGAAGTTTGCTTATGTGAAAACAAAGCTATGCAAATGAAGTGATGTGGACTTCTTCCAGTTATTTGGATTAACACCAGTGATAATTGCTTAATACAGGGGTAGCTGGAAAGGAAATGGGAAAATTGATTGCATTTATTAGTGTGATAGAATATGGTTTGTTAAATTGTTTTCTATTGTTAAAGGGGTTTGTCTCAAAAACTAGACTAGCTTTTTCAAGTACTCTGTATTAAGTCCTAAATATTCCCACTGTAGCTAAATTCCTGTCCTTCACTGCAGTACTAGTGAAACTCAAAAACTTGAGTGATTTCCTTACTCCCTTATGAAATCAGTGTCAGTCTATCTGAACAGCAGCAATGTTGATTATATACTTTTCCAGCCCATGCGATTTTATTGATTGGAGCCGGTGGAGATTATGAACTACTACTTAAACTGCTTCAAAATCATGAAATATTTCTACATAGGTATTTCAGCAGTTTTAATAACGAAGCTTTTTAGAGAAGCAGTGTATTGATGGCTAAGATGTATAAAAGGTTTATGTAGAAATCAGTCTTTGGCACACATGCTCAAATATTGATAGCTTTTCATCTGGACAAGGAGAGCATCTCAAGAGTGAAGTTGAAGTAGCATCTATAGGTTAAATGAGGGATTTCAGACCCTGACGAGGAGAAAAGTAGATCATACGAATTGTTTAATTGTTCTGTCTTTAAATTGGGTTTTTCAGCACCTGAAGGGAAAGCATGTTCAGCAGTTCCGTGAAGCCTTCCTTAACCAAGACGTATATGTTTATAATCTGTATCATAACAATATGATCTTAATATTTTTATTTGAAGCTAGTCCCTATAGTTCTTGACCATTTACTGTCAAAAGATCACTGTTGGCACTGCTAGAGAATACATAATCCTTGCCTTCAAAAGGCTTACAATCTTGAAGTCGGGCTGAGGCAACTGTACACTATAAGGAATAGTGAAAGTACTGTGCAGATTCTAAAGAGGGAGATGGTGTATTTGGTAAAAGACTGAAAAGGATGACACAAGGAGGTCAGGGTAGGAAGACATTCCAGGTGAAGGGACTAGCAGAGCAGAGGCAGAAAGTACCAGATATAAAGGGAAGTTGTAGGGAAAGCTAAAAGGTAGGGAAAGATTCTAGAGTATTTGGCCTTGATTGCTAAGCAGAGAGGAGTTGTGCTATTTAATAGAGAGCCAGTGGAAGTTTTTTTAGCAAGACAGACATATAATTAGAGCTGTTTTAGAAACTAACCCAGCAGAAGTGTGAGACTGACTGCAGGGAAAATAAAGTAATCCAGGTGATGAGAGCTCACGTGAGGTGGCACCTGATCGCGCACAGGGGTTACTCAGATTCTTCATCTGGGTAACTGAGAGGCTGTTGGTCATCGTAACAGAAAACGTGAAATCAGAAGAGGCTGATTTGGAAAGGGGTTTGAGAGGGCTATACAGGATTGAGGATCTCTGATGGCACAGTAGTTAAGCACTCAGCTGCAAACCGAAAGATCAGCAGTTTGAACCCAGCAGCCGCTCTGCAGGAGAAAGATGTGGCAGTCTGCTTCCATGAAGATTTACGGCCTTGGAAACCCTATGGGCCAGTTCTACCCTGTCCTGCAGGGTTGTTAGGAGTCCGAATTGACTCGACAGCAGATGGTTTTTTATACAGGGTTGAAGTCACATGAGTGAGCTCATTGAGCACAGAGAGAAGATAGCCTTCAAAATACGTCTGCCCTTAGGAAGGAGAAAGGCAACGCAACAAAGGAAAAAGAGTATCACTTCCTCCTCAACTAGATTTAAAGAGCAGGTTCACTGTCCTCTGCTTTCTCTGTATCCCTTGTAATAGAGTTTAATAAATATGTGGTTGAATATATGGAAAATAAAACATTCTTCTCTATAGGATGAGGATGAAGAAGTATACAAGAGAGATTTCAGCGCACCTACTCTGGAGGATCATTTCAATAAAACCATTCTTCCCAAAGTCATGCAGGTATGGGGGAACCTTACTAACACAGGAGAAAAAAGGAGTGCATTGAGGGCTGGGGTGTGGTATGTTTGTGGTATAACTCATCATCCATCCTTCGCTCAGGTCAAGAACTTTGGACGCTCTGGCCGTACCAAATACACCCACCTTGTGGATCAAGACACCACCTCCTTCGACTCAGCTTGGGGTCAAGAGAGTGCCCAGAACACAAAGTTTTTTAAACAAAAGGCAGCCGGGGTACGAGATGTATTTGAGCGACCATCTGCCAAGAAGCGGAAAACTACCTAGAGTTCAACTAGTTAGTCTTCCAGCTGCGGGACACACAGGGAAATCGCAGCGCTTGATCCTTGATTGGCTTTTACTTACATGGTATTCAACCTAATGGACCTATTGCCATCTTTGTGATACTGGGCAGCCCAGCATTTGAAGAAGGTGCTTTGTGAGGTTTGGACTCAATGCTGAGAAACCTCCAGAAAAGCACTGGCCAGGTAGGATTAGAGACCACCCACTTAAAACCTTGAGAAATCTTAGGCTCCGTCGCTGCTGTGGCTTCAGTTTTTTTCCAGGCCCTGAGCTTGAGTCAGAAACATGGGCACATAAAAGGACAATAATTATTTCTGCCTTAGGGTTAGGGGTAATATACCAGGAAATCTAAGCTCACTGAAAACCTGTTTTGCATTTCTTGGTTGAAGTAAATTTTTATAGGTAAAACATACTTTTTGGTCCATTTATGTGTGTTAAGAAATAAAAGAAACACACACCAAGAGGATTTTTAGCATAATACTGGAAATGTGCAAGTTAACAAGTATCTACCTATTAACTAAAACAAAAAACAGCAGGGGATTTTTGTACAGAGGGTGTTTCACATTTTGATCTTCCTCTTTGGTCTCATATGCAGATTCAGATACCAGTCAGGGTTTGTTCCACGTGCAGCCACAGATGTTTGGTTTTCCCTGGTCTCTAAACTGTCACTGTACACGGAGCAAAAAGTTGACCCACGAGATGGGCACGCATCTTACTGAATCCCCGGGGAAAATACCTCCCAGTGTCTTCTCCTTGGCCTGCTCCCATGTCAAGGAGGGCACCGGGGCTCTCTGAGTTACAGTGTAGTGGCATCTTGCTTGAGTTAAATTCAACTCCGTGATTTTTGCTTTTGACATTTATTATATAACCACCATGCACAGGGCAGAGCACTAGTAGCTGTAGGGGTATAAGGGAGAAGACATTTCATCAGTGGAAGGAGTATTTCTTGATTACACAAAAAAATAAGAACAAGGTCTTTTCACATCCTTTAAATGCCCCATGGGGAGAATAACTCAAACACCTTTAATGTCTTAGAATAAAAGTATGAGTGCAGATATTTACTCTTGAGGTAATAGACCAAGCACATGAATGTAAGTACAAGTCCCTGTTGTGTGTGCCAGAGGGGATATGATCTAAAGACTTATCCTAGAGCCAGAATGAAAATAAGGCCTTGAAATTATTTACGAAGTGTTTACAGCTTCCATTTGAGTGTCCACCGAGGCAGGTATGAGGGCAAGCATTTTACATTCACCAGCTCATTAAAACTTAAAACCTAGTAAGTTATGTATCATTTTACAATTGAGGAAACAAAAGCTCAGCAAGGTGACTTGGCCAAAGGTGATAAAACTTTGAAAGTAAAATTGTCTTCTCTTCAGCATAGGAAATGGAATGTAAGGTATATTGGTAACTTACGTCTACATACAGCGGCTCCGTGGCAGGTGCTGGCCTCGCAACTATTCATAAGCCAACCTGGAGACACATGCCATGGGGGTACAGTAGCTTTGCTGAGAGTCCAAATGTACCTTAAGTACTGATGAGTCTAGTCAGATGAATGAGCCTGGCCTAGCATCTGCATCTGAAGGCCTTTCCTTTTAACAAATCTTATACACTGATCCTTCACGTAGGTTCATTAAGGGTTGAGAGGCGGTCACTTAAATTCAGTTATACTCCAACATAAACTTCCTACAACAAAGTACAATATAATATACATTGCACTTGATCCAGTAAACTTCAAAAAGAGACAAAAACATCTTTATTGCAATAAGTTAATCCAGTCGGTGTGTCTGAGAAAGATCAGTTGGTTAGTGCAATAAGAGCCTCGACCACGTTGCCCATGTGCTCCCGCAGGCTCCGTTCTGCTGCTGCTCTTGAGATCTCCATCTCTGTCATCTGCAGGAAAATGATCAATCATGTTACCTGGATTCTTACCAGGCATTAATGCCACCAAAACACGCTGACTCTACTTTTAAAATAAGTTCAGGAAGCAACCTCCCCTATCCATTGACTAGTTAAGCATTACTACTCACTATCAGCTCCAGATCTTCCTTCTTGATGGTGACTTTTGCCAGTTCCTTCTCCCTGTAAATACATATGTGCATTAGTCTCCATTCCCTTATCTCCACCGTGGACTCCCAGCAAGGCTTATTCCCAGCTGTGCCTTGTAAACAAATGATTCTTGATTAACATTTGTGGAATGAAAATACAAAATGACTCCCACCCGCCCTCACCTAACAGCCCCATGGTTTCCCCTTCTGCAGCAGGTGTTGGCCAGGAGGCCTTTCCTTCCACTAACAGGGTAAAGCTGTAGACCTTAGATCTGCAGAAATTAGGTTCTACAGTGGTTTTGCTTTTAGTCTAACGTGAAAAGGGGGAATGGTAGGGCTGGCTGCATGTGGAAGACTTACCGCTCCTGTTTGGCTTTCTGTTCTCTGGACCGCCTGTCTCCAATCACGGACATGGCCTATGGGGAAGACAGGTCTATAGTTACTGCCACAAGCTCTGCCTGGGGCAGTCCCCAATGATCTGAAAAGCCAACGCCACGCGGGTTCTGTATGTACTCGTGATGACGAGTGTGTCAGGAACCAAAGACTGTTTAATTCAATACTGTGCACACGAGGTCCACTTTAAGCCCAATTTCCATCAAGCTCCTCTTCGCTAAGCCGCGAGCTCCCGGTGGCAGCTGAGTTTCCCTCGGCTCTACCCTCTTGCCTACTCCCGCCACAGGATCGGGACCCAGTCCTGGAGCTCTGGCTTCCAGCGACAGCCTCTGGGCTCCCTCCGCTCTCAGTCCGCCCGTCACGCTCCCGGCCGACCTCACCGTCTCCAGATTGGAGCTCTGGATCTCCTTCTCCTCCGCATAGTCGGTGACCCGCTCCAGGTCCGCCGCACCACTATCATGCTTCCGTGGCTTCTCGGGAGGCCGCTCCGGGCCGCTGGTCTCAGTCTCCAACTCCAGCTCCACATCCCCCTCAGTCGCCATCCCGATCTCACCGCGCCACCGCCGGCCGTCACGACCACTTCCGGGAACTGCCCCGCAGCTTCCGCCCGGAGAGGAGGCGGGGCCGGTGCTGGGCCACGCCCCCACTACGCTCCGGCTCTAGAAGCTTCAGAGAGGAAGGTTGCTCGCCTCCCCAGGCTTCCTTTAGGTTTTGTATAGTGTTGGTTTCTGTAAGGCCTTCTCCAAGGCCTAACAGCTGTCACCACTCCAGGCCTCACTGGCTGTGTCCTTCTCCAGTACGTCCCAACCGACATCCTTGCTCAGCTTTACCTGGAACGTAACACACACACACCTGTTCAACCTAGATGTCTAATCCTAAACTGATTAAGAATGCTAATCCACGAGAGGCTAGATATGCAAATTGCTCCTTAATCTGGGGAGAACAGCCTGAGTAGCCCCAGGGATGGGGCACTGGAGAGAAAACCCCTTCACTGGGCGTTCGCATTTACCACATCCTGGAAATCAGCGGTTCTTTGCCGGATGTCTCCCACGCCCTGGCCTTTCTGCCTTAAACTGGGAGACTAGCCATAGCACGGAGTTAGTCCAATGGGCTAAGGGCAAAATGAAGTGGCTACTTTCCCATATGGTGGACCTGGGCATCGTTCCTGGGACAAGGATGGTGGGCGCAACAGCCATCACAAGCCCCAGCACCTCCCTCCGCCTGGCACAGCCGCGCAGTGGAGTCAACAGTGTCATAGTGAATTCCCCCTTCTACCAGGTGAGAGGGTATTTGGGTAGATAGATTTGAAAACTCCCTTGATCAAAGGCTGTCCGAAAAACAGGAAGGGAAGGGCGGCTGGAGCTGAGGAGGAAAACGAATGCCAGCCAATGGGCCTTCCTTTCCCCTCTGAGGCTCTTTTCCCCAGTAGCAAGCCTCTCCCATGCTCCCCACCCGCCAACGTTTCAATCTGGGGAAATGTCAGAGGCCGGGTGTAATTTAGGCCTTTTCGAAGGTTTCCTCAACCCTGCAGGTAAGCCCTTGTGATGAAAGACCAACTAGTTGTCAGTGGAAGGCAATCCTAAGTAGCGTGGAACCAGACATTGAGAATTCCTGAGTAAAACGAGGGAGAAAAGGAAAGGGCACAGTTTGGAATTCAGTCTCATGGGTTAACCTCACACCTGCATGAATGTAAGCCTCTCCTGAGCAAATCTCCACCCTGCCGCCCTGCATCTGTTCTGCCCCCAGGTGTCCTGCTGTGGCCCTGCTCCGTGTACCAGCTGCTGCCACTCTAGGTGGCCCTCTCTCACAGAGTCCACGTGTAGCCGCCTGTTGTACATCCTCCTGCATGTGGGAACCTCAGCAGTCTGCTGCCTCCTGCTGTCAAGGACAGTGGTGGAAAAAGTCTGGGGCAAGGGCCATGGGGTAATTGGGAGGGGATTAGGTTGGAATGTGGGGAAGGATAAAAGAACCTTCTGACAGATCAACCTGAGTGGGAGGTGGCAAATGAATGGACACAGCAAGTAGCAGTAGGTACCTCTCCATGCATATGACTTGCCCTGCCGTTTCTCACACACACCCTCCCTCTAGATCCAGATGCCCTCGGGGCTGTGCACCCGTTTGGCCACTCGGATTGCCCAGTGCTCAGTGGCTCTGGGGCTGTGTACCGAGGATGTACAGGAACCGCCACCTTCCACCTGCTGCAGGCTGTGCTGCTGGTCCACCTCCACTCCCCCACCAGCCCAAGGGCAAAACTGCATAATAGGTTTGTGTGTATTCTCTAGCTGGGGTGGAACAGGGGAGGGAAGTAGACAGAAGCTGGATAAAGGAAATTTAAGGATGAGGTAATAGCACCGTGAAGACAGAAAACTTGGGTCTACGGCCCTGCTTCGTCTGTAACTGCTATGTGACCATGAGCTAGATACTTAACCTCCTTAAGTCTGTAGTCTCTGAAGTGGAGATAACAGTGAGGTTACTATAGGCAAACCTTCTGTAAGGTGTAAAACATTGCCCAGATGTTTCGATTATCAGAGGATTAGAATAACCCTTTCCTCTACTTACTTTTCTCGTCTCTGCTCTTTCCTATGTTTGCTTTCTCTTTTCCCTTCCCCTGTAGTCAGTGTTCACTCTCGTTTGCTTTTTCTTTTTAAAAATATTTTACTGTTTTCAGTGGAAGTTTGCACAGCAAATCAGGTTCCTGTTTGACAATTTCTATACTGATTGTTCAGTGACGTTAGTTTTGCCTTTTCTTCTGAGTCTGGTTTTCTCACTCCCTCCTAACCAGCTTCTGGCTCCTCAAGCTGCTATTCTTGCTAGGTCTCTGTGCTGTGGCCTTCTGCATCCCTGATGAGCATCTCTTCCCAGGTACTCTCCATCTCACACCCTGGTCAACAGGTGTAGACTAAAACGGTTTCTAAGTCAGAGGGCAGAAAGAGGACTAGGAGTCGTGATGTGACCAGCTACCTCTTCCCACTGATGCCCATCTTGCAGCCTGGCATTACATTGGCATTTGTGGAGGCTTTGCTTTCATCCTGCTACAGCTGGTGCTCATCACAGCCTTTGCCCATTCCTGGAACAAGAGCTGGTAAGGGGTACGTAACCCTACAGGCTTTTCCTGGGGAGGTCTGTCTGGCATTACTAGGCCCGAGCAGCACTAAAAAGCTCAGAGTGTGACGACCATCTGTGGGCCACGATGGATGGGAAGTCACACCAAGAGAAACAGTAATAGGTAGAAACAAAGATATGGAGCTTCAAACCATTGCCAACCTCCCACCCTTAGGGAGACAGGTGCAGCCCAGGACTGCGGCTGGTTCCTGGCAGTGCTGCTGGCCACCGTGCTCTTCTACAGCACGGCAGGCGTGGGAGCTGCGCTCCTGTTCCTCTACTACACGCACCGGCTGGCTGCCTGCTCAACGAGATGCTGCTCAGCCTGCACCTTTGCCTCTGTGGTCTCCTCTCCTTCCTCTCTGTGGCTCCCTGCATGCGCCTCAGTGGGTACATGCCCTACAACATTCAATCTGGGGGGCTTTTTAGGATAGCAAATTCCACTAGTTTCCCGAATCTCAATCCAAGTATCTGATAGCAGAATCTCTGCTTCCCTCAAGGGGTGGGGAGGCCAAAGCAGGGGTGGGAGTAGGAGTGGAGGAAGTTAGCCCCCCGTAGACGAATGATCCCCGTTCTCCGCAGAGCATACCCGCTCTGGCCTTCTACAAGCCTCGATCATCAGCTGCTATATCATGTATCTTACTTTCTCTGCGCACTCCAGCCGTCCTCCAGACAGAGGTAAGGACAGGACCCAGACTCCTCAGGCTCCTGTCAAATACCCAGCTCCTTGTTCTTAGCACCTCTCGTTACCCCTTCTCAGTAATCCTTCAAGAACAGAATCTCACCCGGTGCCTGCCTAGCCTGAGTGACATGGGACCCCAGACACCTCCTGGCAGTGCTGAGTGCTGGCATCATGTATGCTTGTATGCTTTTTGCCTGGTGCGTAAACATGTCAAGGGGAGAGGTTTGAGAGGCGGGGAGGATACCCAGAGTGGGGAGGGATGGTCACGTCTGGGACTATGGTTTATTTAGACTCTAAACCTTAAAGCAAGACCAGAAGAAAGCTCCCCATGAACAGGGACAGTTTCTAAGAATAGCATTGTCAGATGATCTGTATGAGGTGATGGGGTTGGGGCAGGGGGTGGGGGGAGGACTCGAGAATTAAAAATACACGCAGAGATCTTAGGCCTTCACACACAGAGACTTCTAAATCCCTGCAAGCTCTGAATGATGTTGGGGGAAAAGGGGTCTCAGGGAGCAGTTAGTACCCTCCTGAGGGTTCCTAATATGGACCCACTGGCAGTAAATACACACTACTTGACTGGGTCTGCTTGAGAACTCTCTTTTTTCTCAGAAATGAGGCTTCCTACCTGGCTGAGGTATTTGGGAACTTGTGGATCGTCAAGGTTTATAGCTATGAGTTTCAGGTGAGAATGGAGAGCTCAAGATCCCCAACGCACTTTCCCCCACCACACAAACTCACCACAAACACCCACACACGTCCTACCAACCTCTACCCAGAATGCTCCAGATTCTAGCTGCTAATACCTTTTATTGAGTACCCACAATCTGGCTAGATACTTTACATACATAATCTCGTTTAATTTAATCCTCACAACAACCCTGTGAGGTAGGTACTTGCTCCATTTTACAAATGGAGAAATCGAGGCACAGATTAAACATCTCATACCAAAGGTTCCATAGTCAGTTATGTGCTCGAGCTGCAACTTGAACCCAGGTGTGCCTCCACTTGTTACCAGACTAATCTTTTCAGAGATGGAGTTTCCTAGACTAACAGCCTCACGTGTTCTTTATTGTCATTCCAAAACACACTGCCTTGTTTTTGCAGAAGCCGTCTCTCTGTTTCTGCTGCCCCAAAAAAGTAGAGCCAGAAGAAGGTGAGTTGTCAAGTGAGGATCCCTAAGAAATGGGATCTCTGTAGAGTGCCAGAGAGCCCTCAAGAGCCTCCAGGAAAGCAGCTGGGGGAGGAGGGAAGAGGTATTTTAGCAGAACTGCTCCTAGCAGCTCTTCCTTCTCTCCAGGGCCAAGGGGTAGGGCTGCCAGGCCAGCTGATCAAGAGACCCCTCCAGCGCCCCCAGGGCAAGCCCAGCATCCTTCCTACAGCTGTTCTGCCTTCCACTTGGTCTTCTTCCTTGCGTCACTCTATGTCATGGTCACCCTCACCAACTGGTTCAGGTGGGATGGTGTTGGAGCTGGGACATTCCCCTGAAAACACAGCTATTTTGGGAAAAGAGCAATTCAAGGCCACTCCTGAGGATTCTCAGGAGACACACATTGGTCTGCCATACTCTTTGGGTGGGGAAGCAGGATAGGTCTAAAAGCTGAGGTGCTGCATTCTCTAACCAGAACCTTTGGTTCCACAGCTACGAGGGAGCAGAACTGGAAAAGACTTTCACCAAGGGTAGCTGGGTGACCTTCTGGGTCAAGGTTGCCTCATGCTGGGCCTGTGTGCTCCTCTGTCTGGGGCTGCTACTGGCCTCCAGTCTGGGACCTTCTAATAAGCTGGGACTCCCTTGAGGTTGTGCCCCTAGTCTTGGCTCAGGGGAGCTGTCCAGCTCAGCTCAGTATCTCAAGAACTCAATAGGCAGTTATCTTCCTTCAGGTTAAGACAGTCCTAGGTCTGAATTGTAAGAAGTGGCCATATACATCCTAATGCCCTGGCAGAGCATCTTACTCAATGGTGCTCTCGTTATGTCTTCATCCCAGCTCAAGAACCTAACTCCCAAGGCAGCAACGCAGGAACCACTGCTGATCCCAGCAGACACTGTGGCACCAGTCTTTTCCTGGTTCCTGAGCTAGAGGTAGGGGTCAGGGAGACCAAAAGGGACTGAAGACGTGGCTCTGCCCTTGGAGATAAAAAGGGAAACAAGCAGTTCAGCCCTGGGCACAGGCTCTAAGAAGCCCAGAACCACAGAACCGGCACACAGGAAGAAAGGAGCACAGGGCTACCCTAGGTTTTCATCTTGATATTAAGGTCAAGGGAAGACAAAAACCACCCTTATTTCACGAGGAATGACAGAGCAGAAGAGAATGTGAACACTCGAGAGCAGCAGGATTTTTTGGCCAACTTTCAAGCAGGCAAACAGACTGAGGAAGAATGAGAAAGAGGAGCATACTTAGGTCTTGGAGCCTTCCCTCTTGGGCCCTCAACTCCATCCTTGGGATGGTGTTCAAGGTCTGTATGGAGGACAAAATGACAGAAAAGAAGTCCCTATGGTTATTAGAAGATTCCTCTACTACATCCCACAGTACTTGTCTGGTTGTTGTAGAATAATAAAAGGTTTTTTTTTCTGTGATATTTCATTTATCAGTCTACATATCCACAACCTTTTAGGAGTCTAAAGTTATCTCTCCTTTTGGTGGGAAAGGGCAGCCATTCCTCCAACCCCACCCCCACCCCCCAAATCCCCAGTCAAACCAGGCGCTCAAGGAATTACAAAGCTACTTTTAATACTTTGGGGTGAGCCCCACAGGAATAAAAAACACTGGGAAGGGGTAACCCCCTCACCCCCAGGTGTGGCCTGGAGGGGGGAGAGGCTACCTGAGGGGAAGGAAGCACAAAAGGGACCCGCTGCAGACTCAGGGCAAAGGGAATGCCATCGGTGCTGGGACCTGTGAGCACTACAGGAGGAAACGCGAGCGTGGCGGGACTGGCTCCAGGCACACAGGCGAAGGGCAAGAGGGTTGGACACGAAGCCACAAAGCTACTTGGGTTCCTCCTTCTTCTCGTTTGCTTTTTTCTGCTTCTGCTGCATGATCTCCGAGTCCCTGGGGGTAGAGATGATGGGGCACTGGGAGGTACCAGAGGGCAAAAGGGACAAGATGCAGGGGGATGAAGGGCACAAAGGGTAAGATGGAAGTGGATGGGACCAAGTTCAGCATGTGGCTGCTGTATTCCCACCCTAGAACAAGAAGAAGAGAGCTGACGCTCAAAAGGCAATCAGTCTCCATCTGGCTGTCGCCCAAGGGGTCAGAAGTCAGGCCACACAGGCCCAAGGTTTACACTCTCTATTCTGTGCTGAGTACCACACCCAGTAACACCACTGAAAAGGTTAGGAGAAGGGAGGTGAAACAAAGAACAGCAAGGAGCAAAAAATTCCGGGCTCCCATAACCACCACTGTGTTTGGAGAGTGACACTCCCTGCCCTTGCCCTTAACACGGTCAGACCTAGGGGCACTCGGAAATCAGACTGAGGGCAGGCACAGGCCCCAGTCCCTTTCTGTAACACTGTGAGCAAACAATTTGGAGGGTGGGGAGGAAATAAAACCCTAGAGAAAGCAATGCACTCTGCCCCTCACGACCCGCCCAGGCTCCAGCCCTGCGGTAGCTCCCTCTTTCCTGGTGCAACCCTTAGTCTAAACCTCCCTCCCCCCCACGCCCCGCGCCTCCCCTCCCTGGGGCTACCTCTGCTTGCGGGCAGCAGCAGAAAGCCCGTCATCTCGGCGCTTTCCCTTAACCGAGTCGCTTTGCTTTTTCATGTTCTTCTGGCGGGCGAGCTCGCGCTGGTTACCGCCTAAAGAAAGAAGGTAAAAGGTGAGATGTGGGGGCCGCTCTGCCCACACACCGGCGACCCTCCTCCCCTACCCAGGACACCAGGAGGATCAACACTTCCCCCGGGACCCACACCGGCCCATCTCGGGGTCCAGGCTGCTGACATGTCGGGGAGGGAAGGGGAGGTGGCGAAGCTACAACGGGGCAGGTCAAATTAGAAGGTGGAGGGACTGCGGTCCCGAAGAGCCGTCGGAGGGGTGCTGAGCTTCGGGACGGCGTGGGGACCCAGACAGACGGTGATCGGTGCATGCAACGGGCTGGGTGTCTGTGGGGGGAGGGGCTGGGGTCCGGAGTAGGGGGACTCTGGGCCTATCCCAGGGGCGCAGGGCTTCTCCCCACATCGCGGAAGGTTGGGGAGGGCATATGCCACGGGGTGGGGGGGTCTCGGGAAGTGTGGGCTGGCAAAAGGCTCCATTTCCGGGCTCCGTGTGTGAGGGTCACGAAAGAACGCTCCCTGAAACAGGCCTCGGCGGGGAAGCTGCGGGGAGGTCAGTGCCGGCGATCCGGCCGTCGTGGTCAGGGTGGAGGGGGAGGAAAGGACTAGAGGAGGGAGTTTCGGTGCTCACGGGTCATGGCGACGGCAGCGGCTCTGGCCTGCTTGGGTTGCGACCCCTCCTTCTGTCCGACGTTGCAGGCCCCGCCCCTTTCTATAACGTAACAGGTCGTCCCGTTCCTCCCCGCCCCGTCGCGCCCAGGCGCCGGCTCCCAATGGACAGAAAGAAGCACGTGGCGCCGCGGGCCACTCGCTGGCCCGACCGGATAAGGGGCGGAGGCTCGCCGGCCCGGCGCGCAGCGTGGGGCGGGGCCTCCGGAGCTAGGCCCTGGGCCGGTTGGGACAAGCTAGGGCGGGTCACGTGGGCGCGGTGGGGGTGGAGGGGTGCGGCTGACGATGTGGCGCTCCCGCGGGCTCGAGCACATGACCAGGTAGAGTGACCTCATGCGGGGACCGTGTAGGACGCTGACAGACTCGCCCAGAGGGAACGCCGTTCTGGGGGAGGGGGCGGGAGGCGTGCCGAGGTGGCTCAGCCGGTTTTGTGTTACCGGGACTCTGAGACGAAACTTGGCCGCTACTTGGGGTCCTCCCCCGCAACCACTTATTTGGACACTTGAAGTGTTCTCAGTCTGTTGTAAAATCTTGTACAAACGCAACTTTAGAACCACCCTTTTCCACGAAGTTGCCCCTCCCTGAGCCCCTCCAGTATGGAGATTGGCAGCCACACCTAGTACATCCGGAAACTTTGGCCCTGCTCACTTCCCCACATACGAAGATGAAGTACGAAGATGCACTAGCGTGGAAGTATTGAAGGGCTCCAGAATCACAGATTGGAGTTGGATAAGGGGCTAAGAGATTGAGGAATGCATATAGTATGCCCGTTTCTCGCAACGGTCGTTTCCCACTGGACAATATCAGCCACACCCAGTTACAAGAGGCAGTTGCATAGAGCTGGAAGCTGTGGTTTCCCACAAAACCCTTTCTCTTCCAAACCAGCTAGTTGCTGTGGAGTCAATTCCAACTCATGGTGATGCCGTGTATTGCACAGTAGAACTGCTCTATAGGGTTTTCATGACTAACTTTTGAGAAGCAGATCCCCAGGTCTTTCTTCTGAGGAGCTTCTGGGTGAGTCTGAACCATAACCAAGCACCTAACCATTTGCACCACCCAGGGACTGCCCGTTCTCTCCCAGTTCCATTATTCTTCTGTCTACAAGACTCCCCCCCCCAGTCCTGAGGAACTCATTGAATATAAGAGAAATGGTTAGGAAACATTATCACAGGAAAAAATTGGTCGTAAACTTTAACTTGGGATTCTCTCCAGCTAGTTCCCGTAGCAGAATCCAGTTGAGGCTGAAACTTCAAACTGACTTCCCCCTCAACATAGAGCCGTTCAACCTCAGTCAGCAACACTGTCATAATTTTTGCCATACCCAAGTATCATCTGGACTACACTATATTACATAATATTTTTGTAAATTAGGTTTAAATAAAGGATATAAATAATACTTAATATTCATATAGTAAATTTAAAATCAGTATCATCCACAAATAGAAACTATAAAAATAAGTGATTGTAACATGATGGTGGCAGACTTCGTCTGACTAACTTCAGAGGGAGAGATGAGAATCACCATCATAAGCCCAAAGCTAATTCCTGTGAGGTGGGGGTCAGACATAACTCCACTCTCCAACCTTTTCACCAATTCTGACACCAGTCGTCCTTCCCACGGCACTGTTTCTCTGCGGGGTTCGATAATTCATTGCAATGGCTACACAAAACTCACAGACCATACTGATGATTATGGAGTTTATTAGGATCAGAATCAATTTGGAAGTAACAGGAATAACTCAGGAGACAGTTGTCAATCAGGGCAGCTTCCAAATTCTCAGCTCCTTCGCTGCTGTTCTGCAGCAGGCAGGCCTCGCTCTGGTCTCTTCCCTAATCAGGCAAGTTTTACAGCTCTCTCTAGCTCCACTGATAAGTGCCTGCAGGCACCCCTCTCTGCCAGGAAGCCTCCTGCCTGAAGGCACCCAGCTCTCTTGCTCAGTGGGTAGGCAAGCCCACTGCAGCTATCTGCTGGTCCTGTGCCTCTGCCATCTTGTGCTGTCTCAGTGTTACAGCTCTTTTATGTCTCCTGGGTCTAGGATGTTGTCAGCACAGGGACCCCAGGTCCAAAGGACATGCTCTACTCCAGGTTCTTCTTGATGGTAGTGAGGTCTCCCTCAACCTCTGTGGGATTGGCTCTTTTAAGCCTAGCAGGATGGCAAAACTGACCAATCCCCTTGCTAAGCCACAGGTACCTTATTTGCATAGTTGCTGTCCAATCCCTGCAAGAGTTTAACATTTCTTACTTGCATAGTCCCAGCCAATCATTCTGTGGGAGTTAAGAGACCATGGCTAGACAGGCCATATAAAAGCAATTGATTGCACTGCAACAATGTAAATAAAATGTATTAAATTCTACCAAAATAATACCATCGTCAAATGTGCTGAGCTTGGGGCCTGCCTTCTCTTATGAAGGGAATTATTAACAAGTGTTAGAGATCCTTTCTTTTGAAATAATCAGAAGACTGAAAAGCATTTGATTCTTTTACTTTGTTACTTAATGCTGTGTCTCTATGCTACCTAGAATTACTTCTCATACCACCAGTAGTACAGATCCTACACTTTAGTACATACTAGGTGTTGTAGATGAACATTCATGACACGCATAACAATGTACAGATTCTGACTCTTTTATTGGATTTCAGATTTGGGACACTTACTTTCTCCATACTTCAATTCCTTTATATGAAAAATGGGAATAATATATACCCCTCAGTGTTGTGGAAAGGATTAAAATAGATGAGTTATCGTAGAGATTTGCTCATTCTTTCAACAAATCTTAATTGCACGCCATAATACGTGCAAACTATTGCATTAGGCATTAGGTATCCAGTGATGAACAAAATACATATATCTCTGAATTCATGGAACATAGAGTGTAGAGGAAACAGCACTTGCTTGTGTGCACTGTCTCTATGTATATATACACATATATGTATGTATGTATGATATATATACAATGTCTGTGTGTATATATGTGTCTGTGATGTGTGTGCCCTCCCATCTCAAGCTTTTTCAAGAGAGAGGGTCTGAGTCTCTTAGTTTCAATTTTTAAAACCCCAGGACAGGGCTGTGATGGATCAGGTGGTGGGGAGGTAGGTGTGGGATAGAATGTATATATGTGTGTGCGTGTGTGTGTGTGTGTGTGTGTGTGTGTATGTATGTATGCAAATTGTAATAATTGCTTTGAAGGAAAAGAACAAATTCTATGCAAGGGTGATATTAAAAATATTTAACAGGGAGTACAGCATAGGCATTAAATGAATAATTTATAAGGATCAGCACAAAGCTGCCTCCTGTGAAGCAGAGATTAAAGATATCCCAAATGTCCAACTTTTCCAGACTGCTATACCATGCCATCATCTCTAACATCAGCTACTCCCCCTCCCTTCAGTACTCTCCCTCCCATCTTTGGGTTGGGTAATTCGCTGTAGCATCTCACAGAACTCACGAACTGTACTTATAGTTAAGTGGTTTGTTAGGGAACTAACAGTACAGTTCAGGATCGTGATCAGAAACGACTCAGGATACAGTTCTTTGATTAGGACAGCTTCTTCTTGCCCTCTGCCGATGGGTGCCTTCTTGGACAAGTGGTACAACTGTTAGCCCCATGGGTCAGTAAGCCCCACTGCAGCTGTCTCAAGCTGCCATCTCTCACTGTCTTCCATGTTACAGCTCCTGTCTCCTTCTCTCTGTCTCTCTAAAAGGATGGAAAAACTGACTAATCTCCTTGTTGGGGTTCATCTTATTTGCATGGTTCCACCCCCACAATGGTGTCGTGCACCTTATTTATGTTATTAGCAAGCTGTCCAATCCCCTTGGTGGGCCACAAGCACATCATTTGCATAGTCCCATCCAGTCTTTTGGTTACAGTTACAAGACCATGGCGAGAAAGGCCATATAAAATTGATCGATCGCATTGCTGGCACCCACCCATCAAAACAGATGTGAGTGTAATCTGAATGAAGACAATCTGTGGCCAGCTCTTCTGCCTGTCCTGGTATGAGGTAGCTGAATAGCATTGCTGGTTCTATGAAGGGAATATACCTTTAGTCCCTAATTTTGAAGCAACTGACTTTGAGCTGAGACAAAAGGATGAGGAGTTAGCCAGGTCTGGGGGTGTGGGGGAGGTAAAGAACATTCCAGAAGAAGATACAGCATGTGTGAAGGCACTAAGGCCCTGCTCCCTCAGGCCATCCCATCAGAAGTCCCCAGGTTACCAAACCCCTTGCCATTGAGTGGGTTCCAACTCATACCGACCCTATAGGACAGAGTAGAACTGCCCCATAGGGTTTCCAAGGAGCAACTGGTGGATTTGAACTGCCGACCTTTTTGGTTAGCACCCTGAGCTCTTAACCACTGCACCACCAGCGGTCTGCCACCAGGTTAGTGGGCAGGAAATAGGCTAGTCACTAATGTCTAGTGAGCAGGTGGTGTGAACTAGGTCAGAGAGGTGGGGCTGTGAAATGATCTGAGGTACTGCTGCTCATAGGACTGCGAGCTGACATGAAGTCAGGGCTTACCTGGTACATTAAGTGTACTTTTCTTATTTGAGTCTCACAGTGACCTTTTGAGGTGTCATTATCCCCCTCTTATCGATTTAGATACCTGGGCACAGGGAGGTTACATAACTTTCCCAAGGAAACTCTGATAGTGAAGGGTGGAGCTGGGAGTCCAGCTCAGCCTGCGCTCTTCAGCAGTGGGACATGCATGTTGAAAAGCTCACTCTGCAGGTGGAGAATGAATAAGAGCAGATGAATGAAAACTGGGAGGCCAGTCAGGAGGCTATCACAGGCATCTTAGATACTAGGCCTCATTTGGTAACAGCTAAAATTCAGTTCAGAGTGATTTGGGCAGAAAGGGGAATTCATTAGCTTATATAACCAAACTGGGGGATGGGCTGGGGTGTGGCTGGCCATAGGAAAAACTGGATTCAGTGACGAGGGGGATGCCTCCATGCCTCTTGCTTCGTTTTCTCAGACCTAGATTCCTTTACGTGACAGGAGATGGCCACCGATGGTACCTACCCTCATATCTCACAGTTTCTCCAGGAGAGAAGGCCTGAGTCTCTTCCCTTAGCTTTAGTTTTTAAAACCCCAGAAGAGGGCTCTGATGGGTCAGGTGGCTACCTAGTGGTGGGGGAGGTGGGTGTGGGACAGGATACAATGAGCACTCCCCATCAGGATCACATGATTAGTGTGGGGGAGGAACAGTTTCCTCAAAGAAGGGGAGCTTGTTCCAAAAAAAAAAAAAGGATTCTGGGTAGATAAAAGATGTCCATTACATCAGGGAAGAGAGCCACTCAGACTGAGATCATGACAGCAGAAATGGCAAAAGTGGGCAGTTTCAAAGTATGTTTTGGAGATTCAGTGAGAGATTGGGTGAGAGGTCATGGAGAGGAAGATATTGTTGATATCCCAGTTTATTCGTTTATTCATAAAATATTAAGTGTATACCTATGTTTTGGTTATCTAGTGCTACTGTAACAGAAACACCACAAGTGGATGGTTTCAACAAACAGAAGTTTATTCTCTCATAGTCTAGTAGGCTAGAAGTCCCAATTCAGGGCGTCATCTCCAGGGAGGGCTTTCTCTGTCGGCTCTGGGGGAAAGTCCTTGTCATCAGTCTTCCCCTGGACTAGGAGCTTCTCCGCGCAGGGACCCTGGGTCCAAAGGATGCACTGTGCTGCTGGTGCCGCTTTCCTGGTGGTATGAGCTCCCCCTGTCTCTGCTCTCTTCTCTCTTTTATGTCTCAAAAGAGATTCACTTAAGACACAACCTAATCTTGTAGATAGAGTCCTGCCTCATTAACATAACAGCCTCTAATCCTGCTTCATTAACATCATAGAGGTAGGGTTTACAACACATACGATAATCACATCAGATAACAAAATCGTGGACAGTCACACAATACTGGGAATCATGGCCTAACCAAGTTGCTACATATTTTGGGGGGACACAGTTCAATCCATAACAACCTGTATGTGCTAGACACTATTCTAGGCACTGTGGCTACAGTGGTGAACAAGACAGATGTGATCTCTGACCGCACGAAGTTTAACACTTTAGTGGGGAGACTGACAGCACCCGACTAAACAGCCACACCAACCACACCTATCAGTGCATGATAACAGCTCGTGCCAAGTATTGAGACAAAGATGGCTGGGTAAAGAATAGTGGGAGACACCCGCTTCTGTGGTGATGTCTAACGTTTCAGCTGAGGCCTGAGAGATGGGAAGGAGCCAGTTACAGACCCAGAACCAAACCTGTTGCCGTCGAGTCAATTCCGACTCATAGCAACCCTATGGGGAGAGTAAAATAGGGTTCCAACCTATAAGGGGCAGTGCAGTTGAATCCCTAGAATTCCTAACATCCTTCCTTTGTCATGGAAGAGCAGTGCAGTTTTAGGAAATTCTCTGCCTCCTCCTTGTACTCCAGGGGTGCTCCTGAATGATCAAGATGATCAAGGTAAACTCATCCCTCTTAGTGTTGGTTGGTTGAAGAAGGGCCTAAGCCAATTATTATGTAGTACTCACTTGGTGATACAGTAACTATCAGGAGTGAGCATGTGACCTAAATTGGCCTGATGAGACCAAAGGGAAGGGTTTTGGTTCCATTGCTATGGGAAGGAGGGTGCTCTCTCCCACTGACTTGAACAGAGAAGCACCCAGCCCCTCCTGCGCCTGGCAGCTCTAGTCTATGAACTTGGAGGGAGCCAGCCTTAGGTTGAAGCCAAGTGAGTAGCAAAAGTAATCTTGATCCTTGATGATTCTGTTGGGCTACGTCAACTCTAGCATTTATTTTACTGCTGAGGGTGCTGCCATGGACACACTGTATTTCTTTTTTGTTTAAGCTGCCTTTCCTCAAACATTCCAGGCACACTCCCAATTTAGGGGATTTGCCCTGGCTCTTCCGTCTGCCTAGAAACCATCTCCTCCAGCAATGCAACTTGGCCAGTCTGCTCGCCTGCTTTTGTGTTGCTTACACTTCATCCTCTCCTAGAGGCCTGCTCTGACCACCTTACTTAATACGCAGTCAGCCCTTCCCCCTCCCTCCCCTGCTGCCAAACCCGCTTACCCTGGTCCATTTTTTCTATAGCACTTACCGCCTTTTAACGTACACTATAATATGTCTTATGTTTATTTCTCATGTTACTTATAGACTGTTCCCTCCCCTCTAGAATGTAAGCTACCCCAAAGCAAGAATCTGTTCACTGATGCGTTCCAAGGATCTAGTACAGTGCCTGGCACAGAGTAAGTGCCCAATAAATATCTGTCGAATGAATGAAAAATGGATAAAATACTTATTCTAAAAAGTTACTGTAGGGATTAAATGATGTAACATACAAAGCTCCTGACACACAGGGACACACGACAAATATTAGGTCCCTCCCTCCCTGTCTTCCCCAGTCTCCTGCTCCCCCTGCCTCTCCTGATATTTTTACCATTAGATCTCCCTCTTTGAGTTAAAATCCAGGAAAATCCTACAAAAGACCACAGATGTCCTCTGAGAAGAAAAGGCCTGGGAGACCACCTTTACCCATCACCACATCTGTTCATCAGATTAACAAATTGTCACCCAGAGTAGCAGAGAAACCTCAATAGATGGACAGGTAAATGTTTTTGTTGTTGCAACTGGAGGTTTATTGCATTGTTTGTTTGTTTGCTTTTTTCCCTTGGATGTGGGCAAATTTCACAAAAATATGGAACACTTCACGAGTCTGTGTGCCTCCTTGCTGCAGGGGCCATGCTGATCTTCTCTGTATCGTTCCAATTTTAGTATATGTGCTGCTGAAGCGGGCATTATTGCACTAATTTTAAAAATTATTGAGGTACAATTTGCATACAGTAAAATACATTTTAAGTGTACAGTGTGATGAGTTTTGACAAATGTGTAGGTAATTTGATTGGGAATGGAGGGGATTAAGGCCACCTGGGATTATGTAGGTGTGGGGATTTCACAGAGGGATCCTGGTTAGGAAGAAGAGAACAACATCGAGGCTCTTGGGAACTGTATCCAAATAGTGGAGGCACCCAGGGCCAGCCAGACATTGGTCCTGGGGTCTCATTGCTCCAGGCTCTGGACTCCGAAATGCCTGGCAACTTCATGGCACCTCTTGAGGGAGTGGGGCAGCTCCCTTTCTCGCCAACTCAGGTCTGTCCAGGCCAGGAGGTGAGAGCTGAGACCTAGTTGTCCGTCCGCTCGTCCCTGGAACTCTCCTGCCAGCGTCCTCACCCCGGTTTAGCCAGGGGCGCGCCAGACCGTGACAGCCAAGTTTCACAGTTGAACCACCACAGCCACAGGGCTTAACAGCCTCTCCAGCCCTGGTCGGAAGCCCGCTCCAGGTCCTCCGCAGCACCGCGCCGGGTATTGGCGCCAGGAATCCCTGGGAGCGCGTGGGCTCTGATTACACTCCCGCCGTCCTCCGGTCTCTGAGGGCTCAAGCCTCTGAGGGCGCAGTCAACTGAGTCAGCCCAGCAACCGGGCCCTCCCTCCCCGCCTCTCTGCGGCTGAAACCCTCAGAGGGTTGCATGTTCAACTTTACTTAGAGATGGCAACTACGCGTTCAGATTGGCTGGGGAAACAGAGGCCGAACTGGGGATCTGGGGTGAGGGGTCCGAAGCTGGCCGCCGATGTGCTTTCCCCCGAACGGGGATAGCCGGGTCCGAAAGTCCAATGCGGCCCACGCCAGTACCAGAAGAAAGCGCTGGGGTCCGCGGGGATGGCCCCCGAGTGCGAAGCACCGCCCACGCGTCTGGGAAACCTCCCGGGTGCTGCGGGCTGGGGGGCGGGGTCCCGGCGGAGGGCGGGGCCGACCTGGGCTGCCGGGCGTGCCAGCCAAACCCTGCACAGCGGAGGTGGCGGTGGTGGTCCTCGCCAGTGGCTCCGCTTCGCCTTGCGCCCCACCTTGCCATCATGGAGGAACCCCAGGAACCTCTGAATGGGAAGCTCCGGCTCTGTTTCTCCCCCGCTGCCCGGACCAGCCTCCTCCTGCTCAGGCTCAACCACGCGGCGCTGCGTGCGCTGCAGGAGTGTCAGCGGCAACAGGTGCGGCCGGCCCCTGCCCTTCTTCCCCAGCCCCTACTCCTCGGGACCCCGGGCGCCAGCCAGCGGGCCACCCTGGCGAAGAGACCTGGGGAGGGGAGCAGCATCCACAATCTGCAGCCCCTCCACCTCGCCAAGCGAAGCCTGCGAGGCAGGTGCTCCCGGGTCCCCGACTTCTAATCCTGGGGACGGCGTTTCACCCCAGCTCAGCTCGTGTCGGTGGTCTCCCCGCAGGTCCGGCCGGTGATATCCTTCCAAGGCAGTCGCGGGGTGAGTGCGGGTCCGGGGTGTGTGAGGGAGGTCGGGGAGCCACAGACAGGCTCAGGGCAACGCAGTCAGGGCCGGCGGCTGCGAGCAGTCAACGGTCTGAGAAGTTCCGAGAACTGAGCTCCGAGGGGGCCCAGGGGGCTTCTGTCCCAGGAGGCTGTGGTTGAGGGCACTGTTCCGTCTCGGCCTGCTGGGGAACTCAGGCCCAGCTGCACCTGGTGTGCTAACGAGCCCCATGGGACTCGTCTTCTGCCCTAGGCTGGCTCAGGGGGGAGTGGCGTTGGCAGGACGGGGAGGGACTGGCTTCATGGGGCTTACTGTCTCCTTCCACCCCCAGTATCTTAGGTTCCCAGGTCCTGGCTGGTCCTGCCTCTTCTCCTTCATAGTGTCCCAGTGTGGTCAGGAGGGTCCTAGTGGTGGCTTGGACCTTGTGTACCAGCGGTTGGGCAGGTAAGTGGGAGCAGGTAGCAAAAAATGGTTTTTGGAAAGTGGGTGAGTGGGGGGTAGAAAAGGGTTTGAAAGTTCTCCACCCTCCTTGTTTTTTCACCACCCTCTCCAGATCTGGCCTTAACCGCCTCCACTGCCTGGGCCCACTCAGGGAACGCCTCACCTTTTGGGCAGCCATGGATTCTATCCCAGCCCCATCTTTAGTTCAGGAACACATCCTGACTGAAGAAGCCAGAGATCCAGGGAGTTGGCACAACACTGGACACGATTCTGAAGGAGGCACAGTGTCACAGCCACAGGTGACGCTAGAAGAGGTGAGGCCAGAAACTGCCAGGAGTTGGGGATAAGGTGGGGCAAAGCCTTTTGCCCAGGAAGTCAAGTACCCCTACCACCTTCCCTGCCAGGGGCCGGATCCTCTGGCAAGCAACCAAGGACAGTCACTCCCAGGATCCTCCAGGGACCACATGGCACAATGGGAAGTGAGGTACTTGGGGCAGGGTGGGGCTAACCCAAGAGGCCCTGGCATTATCGTCTTTTCTAATCTCCACCCTAAAATGCTGTAATGAGATCTAGCTCCACCCCCTACCCTGCTCTTTTCTTTCCCTCTTTGCAAACCCTAGGAACCAGACTCATCTTCCCAAAAGAGAGCCTGATCAGAGACTGCCTTCCTCTGCCAGCCAGAAACATCTGTACAGGGTAAGTTGTAATGGCAAGGACTTTTCAAAGAGAACTTTGTCCAGTCAGGTTGCAATTAAAAACTTAGGAGCCCTTATTTTGAAGCTTCTAGATCTCATTATATGGAAGGTAATTTTGAGTGGGAGGAGGACAGGGTACTGGCTTACTGTGCGTGTGACACAGGTATTTTCCTCAACAGAAACGGCCAGCATCTGCAGCCGCTACAGGACTAGAAGAAAAGAGGCTCAGAGCTCTGCCTCTAGCCTCAAGTCCCCTACAAGAGCTGCCCAGTCAGGACCTCCAAGAGGAAGACTGGGGACAAGAAGATGAAGACATGGGCCCCAGGCTGGAGGACAGTCCCTCCATTCAAACAGGTGAATGAATGAGAGGAGGGCAAAACCGCCCTAACAGAAGACCTAAAATCACCTTTGTGTCTTTTTGCTTCCTTCCTAGACTCTGAATCCCCAAGCCCTGAAGAGGTACCAGACTACCTCCTGTGAGTCCTCTGCCATTTCCAATTTCATCATGCCTTATGCAGATGATGTCCTAGTTCTCCTCCCCTTACATCAGGATAGAAGTTCCTGGGGCTGGGAACTTTGGGGGACAATGCAATGGAAGGTAACTCTCTGCCCCTGGCAGGCAATACAGGGCCATCCACAGTGCAGAGCAGCACCATGCCTACGAGCAGGACTTTGAGGCAGATTATGCTGAATACCGTATCCTGCATGCCCGTGTTGCAGCTGCAAGCCAAAGGTTCATCGAGTTGGGAGCAGAGATCAAGAGAGTTCAGCGAGGAACTCCTGAACACAAGGTAAGGACTGGACCATGCTGGCTTCCCAGCTCTACTGCCATTGCTCTTGTTAGTTGCCATCAAGTCGCCTCCCCCCCACCCCAACTCATGGTGACCCCATGCACAATAGGACTGGACCATTATGATCTACAGGGTTTTCACTGATTTTCAGTAGATAACCAGACTTTTCTACCTCGACTTTCTTAATCTGGAAGCTGTTGAAACCTGTTCAGCATCATAGCAACACAGCCTCCACTGACAGATGGGTGGTGGCTGCACTTGGGAGCACTGGCCGGGAACTGAACCTGGGTCTCCACCGTGGAAAGTGAGAATTCTATCAGTGAAACACCACTGTCCTCCCTATTGGCCATTAACTCCCTGCTGAATTGGAATCGACTCGATGGCAATGGGTTTGGGTTTTTTTTAACTGCTCCTAAGCCTGGGTTTGTTCAGTGAGTAAGCAAGGTGACAACCAAGCCTATTTTGATGAGAAAGATTAGTGTGTCACACAGTACAGAATAAAAGGGTAATTTCTTCCTCCCTTAAGTGAACTGGAGCTTACTTCCCAACGTTACACTGGGTGCTAGCATTGTCTCTCTTTCAGGTGCTGGAAGATAAGATCGTCAAGGAATATAAAAAGTTCAGGAAGGTAAGACAAGGTCTAGGGGCAGTAGCAAGAAGATAGAAACGAGGGTTTTTATTTTTTGACGTGGACGCTTTTTCTCTGCAGCGATACCCAGGTTACAGGGAAGAAAAACGTCGCTGTGAGTACCTGCACCAGAAATTATCCCACATTAAAGGGCTCATCCTGGAGTTTGAGGAAAAGAACAGGGGCAGCTAAAGCCATCAGGGGGCTCTGGATCTCTGCCCGGTGCGAGAACGAAGGAACAAAGCCTCCGCAAACCGAGTGCAACTGTCTGCTTTTCTTATCGCTGACCTCCCTCGAGTCCGCGGCAGCAAGTAGGAGGGCTGCTCTAGGTTCCTGAGGTTTTTCATTGTTGCCGTATTGTAATTTTTAGGGTTGGGCACAGTGCCAAGACTCCACAGCTGTGCCCAGGAGGAGCAGCAGGGGCTTGGTTTCTTCACCTTTAGGTCAGTCAAATCAATTTCACATCCTGAGAAATGACACCATTTCCAGGACAAGATACCTTGAGGATTTTAGACAAACTAAGTGAATTTAGCCTAGAAGCCTCCCTAAGGAAATGATAATGAGAGCTGTTGGTAACAAGCTGAAGAACTTGTAACACACCTGGAGGTCACGGGCACTATCTCACTGAAGGGAAAGGGCTTGGGTGTTACCCACGTACTGAAAGTGAATTCTTTTACAAACATGACTGAAAAATTAAAACTGCTTCTGTGTCCTTTGTACAAGTTTATATGCTGTTGTTAAATCTTCCAAGGCAGTGGTTCCTGTGCCTGCCTGGCTGTACATATGATCCGTTCTACTGGCTTTCTAGAGGCCCAGACGTTCTGCGTTAGAACCTCCAAGATTATGGTGTTGGCATCTTTTCAAAGCACTATGGATAGCCTTGACATATATTTTGTTATAAATGCTCTACCAAATCCACCTTATAACTGACAACTGGAGATTACAGTAGAATAAATTTCTCATTTCTAAACATAGGTGTTTAGAGGACCACCTAAAATTAGGGCTCCTGTCTGGAGTTACCTAGTGGCTGAAAATTTTGACAACAGGTTTTGGCTTTACACACAAAAATGAAGAGGGAAATGGTTTAATTAATTTGAACAAAGGGAGCCCACTCTACTTCTATCCCTTTCATTCCGCCTTGTTGCAGAAGTAGTTCCACTGGAGACAGAAGTTAATGGGCCACACCCTGGGCTTTGGGGGAGAGAGCTGAAAACAGTTCGGATGGAACCTCAATTTGAGGCCACACCCATGCAGGGCATCCACGCAGACAACAGCCCGGGGGCGGGGGGCGGGGGGCGGTAAACACGTATAAGCTCAGCCACATGGCAGGATAAACAGCAGCCCATCCTTGGGGCACAGGCAGGGCCAGAAACAGCCAACAGGAAAGGTCCCCCACCTGTTCTCAGCATTAGGCTAGGGGCTTGGGCAATAAACATGTAAGGACAGAAAGAGATGAGAAATTCAGATTCACAGGTGACAGCTCTGAACCCAGTTATTTGGTCTAGAGCTGCACTGATCAATACGGTAGCCAATAGCCTTACCTGTGGCTACTAAAATGTAAATTAGTAAAAAATGTTCCTAGCCACATTTCAATGCTCGATAGCTGCATATGCCAGACAGTGCAGATTACAGAACATTTCCATCACTGTAGAAAATTTACAGGACAGTGCTGGTCTAGAGAACCCTTGGTTCTCCATCCCCTGGAAAAAGACACTTTAAAGGGGGCTCATTTATTATTACCGTTCCAAATGTACAAAAAAAATTAGAAAATAACCCCCAACTGAATCCCTCCCACCCCCACAACATTTCCCCCAACACAAATAATTTTTTCCAAAACCAAAAACATAAACTGGTCCTGGTGTTTCATAAACAGTGCAGCTAAGAAAAACTTTAGAGACAATTGAACAGGATTCAGATCATAGCCATTCTGTCCTCTCAGAATAATCCCACGCAGGCTGCAGGCCCCCAGCCCGTTCCCCATCTCCGGTGAGAGAGGCCTTTCACAAAGTGGTCTGTCTGGCTGCTTTAGAGGTCCTCCTGTGCCTTCTTCTTCTTCTTGGGTTTGTCTTCTTGAATTACAGGGGGGTTTGTAGCTTCTCGCTGTAGGTAGCTAATAAAATCATTTAATTCACGGCCACCCTGAAAAAAGAAAGATTACTCTGAAAATTTAAGTTTTTTTTTAGAACCCTGGATTTTCCCCCAATAGGAAGACTTTTGAGTTTATAAAAGCTCATTAAAAACTCACTGCCATCAAGTCAATTGCGACTCATAGCGACCCTATAGGACACAGTAGAAATGCCCCATAGGGTTTCCAAGGCTGTAAATCTTTATGAAAGCAGATTGCCACATCTCTCTCCCCTTAGCTCATCAGTAGCCATATATATTGACCATGAGAGCTGAAAGAGCTTCCAGTTAAATAAACACAGTGAAAGAACTGGATATGTACAAGTGTGTGTGTGTGTGTGTGTTTACGGGGAGATGGAACTACATACCTCGTATTTCTTTGGAGTTAGCTTCTTGTTGGCTGGAGAGAAGTAGATGGTAGGGAAGCTGGAGAAAGAAAAAAAGTTTATTAATTTCAGGTTCTAAAGTAATTCTGACATACACTTCCCTAATAACTGCTTCTGGAATAACTTTTGTTCATGGTTTCTAATCTAACCAACTACTGTCTCCATCAATGGCTAAGTTATATCCTATCAAAACTCAAGAACATGAGAGCTCACAAAATCTGTGGCAGTCACATGGGTCCGCAGTGCAGAAAGCAGCAGTGGTTTTGCCCTTACCTGGAGTAAGAGGTCCTCCAAAACCATGTCCAGTAAAGAAATGGTTTCCTGGTAGTTTACAAGCTTATTTTTTCCCTTCCACATGCCCAGACACTCTAGTTTTTAATCTACTCACCCTCTGACTTCATATGGAGAAGGCACATCATTGGCTGTGGCATCCATCTTGGCTATGACAATATTTGGATCTTTGCTGAGCTGTTAATAAAAAGGTTAGATATTTCAATGTCAAGTTTTCAGTGACTGAGGGACACTTCATCAAATCAGAACATAAAACATCTCTGGGCTCCTGCCATTAAGACTCTGTATACTGCCATCTTTAAATTTACTGGCCGGAATAAGCCATTACAAGGGCTGAACAGGATGTTTTAAGATGAAGGAAGTAATGGATTCATATAAGCCATTATCAAACTTCAGAAACCCCTGGATACTTAAAGACTAAGCATAAGGCATATCCATAATCCAGACTAATTTCTGGCTCTAATTCTATTTTCAGAATAGGGTTCAGACTTACCTTCTCTCCCAGTTCTTTATACTTAGGCTCCAGATTTTTACAGTGACCACACCAAGGGGCATAAAATTCAATCAGCACATCTTTATTTTCATCATTCACTATTTCATCAAAATTCTCTGCTACCACTACCTGGAAAACACGGAAGAATCTCTGGTTGGTAAGGCATTTGAAGGAGAAACTCATGAGCTGTATTTATCTCTGGACCCGATCCCTCTTCCAACATGATGTGCTGCTGCCGAAAATGAGTCATGGAAACCCGCAGTCACATTTAAAGACTGGACTGACGATGACAGCATTCCCCAGAAACCAACCCACTTTCAGGTCTGTCACCTGTCAAACTATGTTTAGGAAGTCACAGGAAACATAAGTGCTACCCAACCCTTCCTTAAAATAAGCTCATAACAATCTTTTTGACTCCCATTCTTAGGAGACAGCTTGTCTATTCCCAAGGGTAATTTAGCCCTAATATAAACAGCACCAGAAAACTCTATGAAAGTTTTATACTCTCCCCTGGTATGGATTTAACTGTCTCCCCCCAAAATGTGTGTCAAATTGGCTAGGCCATGATTCCCAGTACTGTGATTGTCTACCATTTTGTCATCGGATGTGATTCTCCAGTGTTGTAAATCCTACCTCTATGATGTTAATGAGGAAGAATTAGAGGCAGTTATGTTAATGAGGCAGGACACAATCAATCTATGAGATTAGGTTGTATCTTGAGTCAATCTCTTTTGAGATATAAAAGAGAGAAGGGAGCAGACAGACAGGGGACCTTCTGCCAGCAAGAATGAAGAACCAGGAGGGGAGCACATCCTTTGGACCCAGGGTCCCTGTGCTGAGAAGCTCTTAGATCAGGGAAGGACCTTCACCCAGAGTTGACAGAGCTGGCACCCTGAATTTCGACTTCTAGCCTCCTAAACGGTGAGAGAATAAACTTCTGTTTGTTAAAGCCATCCACTTGTGGTATTTCTATTGTAGCAGTACTCGATAACGAAGACATCCCCCTATCGAACATTATGAGGTCTGTCCATGTTTTTTTTACGATTCAGGGAGGTGAGGACAAATGAAAGATAGCCAGTAAGGTCTACCTTTAGACCTAGCATTATTTTGGAGTAAAGAAAGAAGGGGTAGCTGCTCGTAGGTGTGATAAGGCTGTGAGCGCCTCACCTTCACAGGCCCATCATTGCTCTCTGGGATAGGCTCAGACTTCAGGTATCTCTTCAGGTTGCCATCGAAGTAATCCTGCAGGAACCTCTCGAGAGCCTTGCCATCACGCCTACAGATGCAAAGACAAGGGTCAGGTTTGTTCATCTGCTCTCACCATGGAGAGGACTAAAAGCAGTTAGAATAGATTCTACATATTTTAGCATCAATTGCAAGGCTGGCAGGAAATCAGACACTAAAAAATGGGCTCTTATCTGTCACAATATGCAGAACTACTGACTGAACAAGAAATCAACCACCTCCTTCTATTTCTAGTCTATTTTTTATGGATTAGAAAGCTCAGGGACGATGAGATCCAACTGACAACAGTAACTCCAAAGATGAGACAGGAAACTCCGGAGGCAGTGAGTTGATGTTCATGGAGGAGGAACAATTCAAAAAAAAAGGGTGAGAATGGTTGCACAACTTTAATGTAATCAATATCTCTGAATTATACATGCAGAAATTGTTGAATTGGTGAATGTTCTGCTGTGTATATTCTCAACAACAACCAATTTTTTTTTAAGGTTAGGTAAGGAAGAAAACATTGCTCTTCTGGAGATTCATTTTTGCAAAAAGAACCAGGTCTTATTTTGTTGCTCTGAAGAATGTGCCCATTTACAGTATTTTCTTTTCCTGTTTGCCTTGCAAGGAAGACTTTCGCTTCTGCCTTGATCTCCTGAAGTCTCAGAAGGTAAAGATAAAACTTCTATGTCTGGTGTCTTAAGATCTTTCCAACTCCTTGCGTTTACTTCAGGCGAATGTCCTTACACTGTGGTTTTCCATCTTTAGGGGTGGGAGGGGGCTGAGGTGGACTGAAATTACATCAGTCTCTAAAGAGGCTGTCTAGTCTTCTCTACCTGCTACTTCTAATAGTGGGATGGAAACAATCATGTACACATTACAGGCTGACATCCTTTTGTTAGTTTTCAAAATTCATTAAGGATCATGGCCTAGAAGTACCTATAATTAAATTAATTGAGAACAATGGCAGTCATAGGTCTTGACTGGAAGACTCATCTTCACGTTGCAATGTTCTTTATAAATCCTCAGCAGTGTAAAAGGTTTTGACAGTGTCCCCGAAGACTCAGAATCCCAAACCCAAGATAACATGCAACTCACGAGAACTCCTCCTGCATGACAAACTTCTCTCCTTTTGCAGTTCTGATGGCAACAACAGGGATCTCTCCAGCAGTGCTTTCCAAGCCAAAATCGGAAAGCTCATGGCTAAAGGTTTTTCGGCTAGCTACAGCAAAGTTGAGTTTGTGTCCAGCATCCAGAAATTTCTTTGCCACCATCATCACTCTGTGGGAAATAAGAGATATTTGTGCCAAGATTATAACAGGTGGTAAAGCACTTTTGAAACCAAAGAATAAGAGGGCAGAAAGCTAAGACTAAGTTCTACAGTCCATGCAGCCCTCTGAAATCAGTCTAAACTTGTGTTCTTGAGATTGATGCAGGATTATGGTGTACTCCAATGTCTTAATGAACTTCACTGCCAAACTGATGGACCGGTCAAACGGTCCATTCCCAATTAATCTTGCTATATAACTGTGTATCTATTTATTGCATGCAAAACAACTGACCTGAAAAGAAAACTTATAAGAATAAAATGCACTGACATTCTCAATGGGCAAGTAGGTACGGTGTTATAAGGACATTTTATGTCATATTTGTACCTTTTACTGGGAGGTTAGGTTTAAGCCTGTCACTAGGCAAAGATACGACCAACAGATTTTGTAAATATTTTATTATTTGTCCTTATGGATTCAAATGTTTTTTTGGAAGCCATCTGTTCCCATGCTTATCTGCTCTCACATCACACATGGTAATAGGACAGTTTGAAGGAACTGTTTACGCACTGGGTAAACTTGTTTACAAAGAGAAAACATGCTTCTAATTACCTGTTTCTCCAGTAATTGGAACCTTTAGTATTCTTTTCATAGTCCACATCATAGTAAGCCACAAGTAAGTCCTTGCCCTGTATCAAATCTTTATTATCTTCTGTCATGTGAGGGCAGATCCCAAAACTGAAATGAAATAATCCATTATCAAAATCAGCAGGTTTATAGCTATACTACAGAATTA